TTCTACCTGTGTTTTTCTTTATAGCATTACGTATAAATAAGGAGGAAATAATATTATTTAATATAAAAATATTATTTTATTAAACAAAAAATAATTTCTTATTAAACAATAAATAATATAATATTATTTCATAATAAACTTTAAAAAAAAATGGGAGGAAAATGTCCGCATCGAAAATATATTGGGGGGGAAATGTCCTACTACGCCAAAAACAATCTGGGGGAAATTGTCCGGATACCCCATATTTGACTAGAGTCTCGTCGGGACGTTTTAGGAATTCTAGGATAGAGTGTATAAAAATACTCAATTTTGAAATGAAAATTAGAGCTCTTTATTTTAGATAAATTATCTGTTTATTTATTAAGGTTACATACAAAAAAATATTTTTAATTTATTGCAGAAGTACTTGTATGGTAACACTTTTCAGAAGATTTTGCTTTTTTCAAAAATTCTTTCTCCCTTTTAATATATTGGTAGAACTCTTGGCAAGTCATGTTGTAATTAATTTGACACAGTAAAATTGACTCCATAGTCTCTGGAAGCAGGCGATTTTGTTCATCAGTCCACTGGGCCGACATTAATGAAAAAACTCTTTCCACTGTGGCATTGTGTGCAGGAATTGCAAACAAATACTCGCATAATTTCAACAGTTGGCATTTTCTTTCGTAATTTTCAGTTTCTTTAAAAAATAAATCTAAAAAATAACATTAACGATGGCGATAACGACTTAATTGGATTCTAAAGTCCGCACCACGAGAGAACGCTATCGGAGCGCTTCGGAGCACGCCGGTTTCGTCAGAAATATTAACAAGATGAAAAAAAATATTTTTTGTTTGGGATTCATGAATCGGGACATTTTAGTCTTTTATCGGGACATCGGGACAGAGAGCTCAATATCGGTGACAGTCCCGATATATCGGGACGGATGTCAACCCTAAGGGTATGGTCAGACTAGACCCGACATCGGCCGAATTAACGTTCTGCCGAATACGGACGAAAACGTCCGAATAAGGGTATGGTCAGACTAGACCCGACATCGGCCGAATTAACGTTCTGCCGAATACGGACGAAAACGTCCGAATAAGGGTATGGTCAGACTAGACCCGACATCGGCCGAATTAACGTTCTGCCGAATACGGACGAAAACGTCCGAATAAAATAAAAGCATGAAATTAAATTGCACCGGTCACATTATATCCGATAAATACGGCCGTATACTGCCGACGCCGRACGAAAACAAAATATTTTGTTTTTTCCGGCCGAATCGGCCAGAAATAGTTTATTTAATTAAAATGAAAATATATAAATGTAGGTATATTATTTAATTATGGAAGTTTTAAAAATAAAAATAAATTGTATTGGATTTATTTTTATAAAAACATTGAATTATAATTTTTGTCATTTGCCTTTCGACATTTTCCTTGATCAGTAGTACGATTACATATTAATATAAGTAGGTACCTAACTAATAGTAGGTACATCATTGCTTACTATAATTTATAAAATAATACTCGCTACTCAGTGGTATATTGATGAATACATATTTGGTCTAAGTATAGGTACACTATTTTCTTAACAAAGATGAAGAAAACTACACCATAAAAAATAGTAAAAATTGCCTATTATCATACTAGCTATTATACATATAAATAATATTAATTATACATAGGTAAAGAATATTATATACATTACACCATTGGTTTCAAACAAGTGGTCCTTGTCGACGGCAGCTCAAAAAATTGTATTTTATTATAAATTTTAGTTATTATTTAAATATCAATACATGGGCGGAAATCTATAAAAATTTCTCAGGGGGCTAAATTAACTAAAAAAAAACTATATTCCAATAAAATCCCATTTCATATGAATCCTGACAAAAAAATTTTTTGGGGGAAGGGCTAATAAGGTTCTGTTTCGCTATCTACCTAATACCTACGACCTATCTATATAAAGAAAACTGTATGTATACAGACAGTGGGGTTCTTTGGAAATAGTTATGGGGTGGGATATAAGTTCATATTATCGTTCTAGAGGGGGGCTTTAGACTATGCCCCTACACCCCCCTTGACATTAAATTGCATAGATCATAGTATTATACTATTTTATCATTATAAATTAAATGAGGTGAATGGCATAATAATAGTTTTTTTAATTACCTTTTTCTTTTAACTATGAGCCGTACAATTTTCTTGTCATGTATTATAATTGTTGAGATATTGCAGTTTTAAACTAATAAAAGCTAAAAATCAAAAAAAAAAATCTCAACTATTATAATGTCCTAACCAACGAATTCTTATTTTAAAATCCTATAATATTTTAAATCTAAGTGCTTACAGGAATTAAATTATGATTATTTTTTTTTTTTAAGTCTGAGGGGTGTATTCCTCCCCCTATAATTTCGCATTTACGCCACTGTTTTTAGAGTGAATATGTTTCAAMTTTTATTACATATACATATAAAATATAGTATATAGGTATATAATATGTAGTGTTCTCTTAAACAGTTATTAGTACATCAACTGCAAATACTGAAGTACCAATACAACGGATTTTTCTCAAATAATATTATAGTAATAATTATCTGAATATAAATTTCTTTGAGATACAAAATATTTAAAAAAAAAACAACATTATGTATCATGTGGGGATCCATCCGTCATATTATACCCTCCGTAAATAGGTCAACCTACCAACTCAAAGCAACMCGGTTAGGTGAATTATTGATCCAAATTCGTCATTAGTTAAATAGAACTAATGTCTAATAATTAAGTATGACATTGACATAATAGCAAGATATAGAATAAAATACATATTAGGTTTCTTTTATGTTTTTGGTTGATTCCAAAAAACACTTGTTTTTACTTTTTAATCTTATCGTGTTCCTTATCATAATTTAATGTCTGGCATCAGGGGAAAACAATATTTAAATACAGATCTGTGATAGTGGTAGGTCCTCGGTGACAATAGTATTCCGTAGTATATACAAGTATGTAAAGTACTATATAGAATATACTTGTTACAGTAGTGATTTATAGTAGGTAAGTAAGTACCAAATTAACAATTGTTTGTTGACAGTTGACAGCAGACACGTGTAGTTACTTTTTGTTATTGTTGTAAATTATGTTACTTATTTTAACTTACAGATAATATCATTATAATTTACTGGGTAGTTGTTTTAAATGTTCCATAACACTGATGAAAAAATATAAAACTCATGTTTGGGAAAGACTTTCTCAACTTCATCAATCAATTAAATGTATGTAAACTGCATAATAATTTGATTAATGATTAATATCAAATTGGTTTATAGATATTAAATTAACCATAAAATAAACACTTGAATCAGAATAAACGTTTATTTATTTTTGAATATGAACTAATAAACTACTTTAAAAATTGTTGAGAAACCTCAAAAATATGTTTTCAACACTGAGACGTTTGGCAAACAAAACCGTAGAAAAAGATACAAGTGTTAATACTGCTTCTCATCCAAAAGCATTACCTCAGGATTTACAACGATCTTTTTCTAAAGGAATTCAATATAATTGTTAGTATTTACATTCATATTTAATTTCCTAATTTTCTAATCGTTATTTTTTTAAATATATGTTATGATTTTCAGTGAAATTAGTTATTAAAGGAGATAGAAATGTAGGTAAAACTTGTCTATGGAATCGTTTACAAGGAAAGCCATTTCTAGCAAATTATGAAGAGACAGACGAAATCCAAGTATAATGATAGTATTTTTATAAATTAAACATGATTATAATTATTTTTTTTAAGGTTGCTCATATTCAGTGGAATTATAAGAACACAGAAGATGTTGTAAAAGTTGAAGTATGGGATGTAGTTGATAAAGGAAAGAGACGACCATTATCGTCTTCAAAATCATGCGATGTTCTAAAAACTGAGCATGATAAAGTTAAATTATCTCCTATACCAGTAGAAGATACTCCAGTTCTAGATGCTGAACTAGTTGATGTTTACCGTTGTACAAATGGTGTCTTACTAGTATTGGATATCACTAAAAGATGGTATTACTTTATCTTGTAATAATAATTTCTATTTCCCTAAGCCAAGAATAATTTCAAAATAAATTAACCCTAATATTATCTAAATATTATTTGAAATTAAATCAAAAATGCTGAGACATGAATTTAAGAATAAGTAATTAATTTACTCAAATTAAATTTTTCCCTTTTACTCATGCACCATACAATTATTTTTTTTATATAACTTTAATTTTATATAATATTTATATATCTTTTAAAACAATTGGTACTTTTCGGTTATCGTACCCCAATGACCAGCCGGCCGACTGCGGCGGCGGTCGGGATATACCGATTCCGCTATCATACCCCATTATATTTATCTCAATGCCTTCATCATAAAAATATTTTTTATTTACAATAATTTTTTTTTGTATTGATATTTTATTATAATTTCATATAATATTATTTTATTAAAATAAATTATATTTTTGGCAATGAAATGTGACAATATTGAGATAAATATAATAGGGTACAATAACGGAAACGGTATATCCTGTGACCGCTGTCGCGATCGACCGGCAGACCGTTAGGGTACAATAACCGAAAAATATCAAACAATTTTGTTTTTCATTAATATCTATTTTTTTGATTTGGTTAAATATTTTCAGGACATTAGATTATGTATACAATGAACTTCCTAAAATTCCAGATAATATTCCAGTATTAGTATTAGGTAATCATTGTGATATGAATCATCATCGAAGTATTAATGGAGATGAAATTATTTATCATTTAAAGACACTGGAAAGGTATTTTAATTGTAATTATTAGTTTTTTAGATTAAATTCTGTTTTTTTAATGAATTTTTTATTTCAGGAGTTCTCCTATTCGGTATGCTGAAGTCTCTATGTCAAATGGTTTTGGTTTGCGGCTAATTTATAAATGGATAGGTATTTCATTTTTGCAACTCCAACGTGAAAACATAATGCATCATTTAGAAACAAATGGAAGTGAAACAAAAATTATGACCATGGAGTTGGATGTTTATCAGCAGAGTAATGAAGCCAATTATKATGAGTAAGCTTTTCATATATAAATTATAATATTATGTAGTTATATAAAAGTATAGTAATAAAGTATATATTTTATAATTTTGTTTTTAGATTTTTATCTAGATTATCTAAACAACGTAGAGCTGATGCAGAAAACAAATCAGTGGCCCCTACTTTACCTTTACCTTTATTAAATAAACCGTCACCTAATGTAAAAGAAGTTAAATCTTCAGTTGAAAATTCAAAAAATATGGATTCTAAAACACAAGATATTGCACAAAAAATGTTTCCTGGAAATAAGTCTAATGCAGTGCAAACAGAATTAAGTAAATGGTTCTCAAAAATTCAATATGAAATAATAAATTATAAGAACATTATGAAATTATTTTATAGGAAAAGATGTTAAAATACTTACAGAAGAACCTATTATAAAAACTCCTTCTATAATAAACATTAACAACTTGGATGATTTTGTTCCTGATGATGAATTGGATAAATCATTTTTAGAAGATGCCGGTCATGGTGATATTGTTGTTAAAATATCTAAAGAAACAGAGATAAATTCTGATGAAAGGTAAAGCACATGACTTATTTATCTAAATGTTTACTGATTTTATAAAAGTACTTAATCAGTATATTTGATCATAACCTGCAAGTTCTACGTAATGAAGTTATTTAAACGCCGCAGTTCACTACTGAAACAACTTGAGTTTTAATACATCCATAATCTTTACTCTATCATAATCAAAATCTTATAACAATTTAAGTTCAATAACGCAATACATTATAATTAAATTATTGTCCATAAGAGAAAATTTTTAGTATTATAGTTTACGTCATGTAACATCAATCAAAATAGAAAACACATAATATCTGAAAAACCAATTTTTTTAGTTGATTCAGTTTTGAATTAGGGCGTCAATTTCAAAACTACTAAATTGATACCTTCTATTATTTTTGATATACTTTATTTGGCCAACAAAGGGGAATACTATTGGGCAGCAGCTAAAAATCATAAATTTCCACGCATTCCAACCACTAAACTAGCCTAAATGCTTCCACCACTATAAGTGGATGAAGTTTACAGTGGCAAGTAGTATACATGGTGAGAATTTGAGCATGAAACTGTGGATCTCATTCATTTAAATGCGCGAAAGAATGGTGTTCTGTTACCGGCCAGAGTATAGTGGAGCTCTTATTACACCTGCAGAATTAGTAAAAATTAATTTAATGCAGTTATAAACAAAATTTATCAATTGAGAAATTGTTTATAACAAATAATAAAATCAAAGATACCAGAAAATTGGTCTAAAGTTTAAAAATACATGTACGATAATCAATGTCTACTTGAGTGTGGAAAAAAGTCTTGTCTTGTCTGCATTACAAATCTGTGTATCATTTCCATTACTTTGTCTGTCTTATCTTTTCAAAACAATGTTTTAGGGAATATTATGATCCCTGGGAATATAATATTATGCCTTGAAAATTTGAAACACAACCAGTTAAATAATCAAAATGAGGTTTATTCTGAATATTTTTTCTTGATATTGTAGTGACGATGATTGTGGAAATCCAATGGTAGCAGGTTATCAAGCCGATGTAGATCCTGATGATTTTATACCAGATATTGATAGAATTAAGGTGATAAACATTTAAAATGTATTTAATGATCATGGTTATAATTTTTTTAAATAACAAAGTTTACCTAAAGTAGTATTATAATTTTGTTTTTTAAACTTAAGATTGAAAAGAACAATGTTGAACCAAATGATCTAGAAAATTGGTCATCTATTCAAAATATAACAAGACCAAGACCAGAAGGTGGTGAAGATGAAGAATCAAAACCACGTGTAGATGGATTAAGTAATGTTAGTTTTAAGGTAATGTACCTATATATAATTTTCAATTATGATGTTATGGCTGTACAGTAATTAACTTAGAGATAAACAGCTTTAAATTAAAACATGAAAGATATTATACAATTTTTAAAAATTACTTAAATAGTAATTATGACCTCTGTATTTTACCAATTGAAGGCCTATAAATAAAGATGGGGAGATGGAGTGGCTGAGTTGCCTACGGCGTCAGTTCTAATGTGTACTGTCGCCATTTCAAATCCAGGCCATTGGGGGAAGCAAYTCTCTCTGGGCAGGCAATTGTGTAGGGAATGAAACTGCCATCCTTGTACCGGGCATAGCGGGAACCTACAGGTGCCCAATTAGAAATTCTGCCAAATAGGCGTCTGAATTGAATCTTTGAGCATATTCCCATACATAATGCCATATGAAAAAAAATACAAAGATATATTTTACACAGAATTCCAGAGTTTAGAAGACGCCACAAGCTCATGCATTTTTTTCATCCAGGTCTGGCAAGTTACCRAGTTGAACTCTGTGGCAACGTAAAATCTAGGTCAATTTTTGAAATGTTCATTTGAAAATGGATCTTTTAGGGCCAGTTAAAATCCTAAAACTCGGTGAGCTGATATTTTGTCTATTCTGTGCTGTCTCTGTCTTACAAACGTAGAACATAGCAAAAATTGTATTTTGCGGAACAACCGTTCTTCCTCAATATTTATTGTAGAGTTATCAGAATTCCGCAATGGATTGGTATAGAACATTACTTGTGTCATAGCGTCATTATTTTTTGGTAACAAATGTAATTAAAGTTATTAGTTTTAAAAACAAATTTATTTTATATTCTTTTATTTAATTATTAAAATTTATTGGTTTTTTCCTTTAAAAAAATAACGACTCTATGACATAGATAAAGTTGTTACCTTTGTGTTGTAAAATTTTGATTATTTTAGTATAAATACTGAGGGAGAACAGTTGTCTTGCGCTAGTACAGTTTTTGCTATGTTCTATATTTGTAAGACAGAGACAACACGTGCGGGTGTGGCCTCCTCTTAAAGTATAATTCTGTTTTGTAACCTTGGTTGTATTTTAGACATCATAGAGTTAATAATATGACATTGTACAGTTGTAAATTTTAATGATCATGTTGTAGTTTTGTTACCATAGGCATATATGGGGGGATAGAGAGGATTTAGCCCCCAGTGTAAATATAAGCCCTCCCAGAATTATTTGTTTGTACATATAAATATCTTATTTTAATTTGGCTAATAGTTTTTTTWAAATTATTATTATTTGTTTTTGCAGCCCCCTCACCAATGTGTTTGATCACCCTACACCTAAGTGTTAAACTTACATGATTTAAATTTGTTTATATAATTTAATACTATCACTGGTAGAATATTCCATATGAATAAAATATTTTTTTAACTATATTAAACAATAATAAAAAATGTATTTTGTCTAAACTCTAGGTAAAAGAAAAAAAAGGCAAGAGTAAAAGTGAAAAAAAGAATAAAAAGAAGACTAATAGTTCTAAATCTGAGTATGAGAACTTGGAATGTTTTTTGAATGATGAATAATATAATTGATGTTTTATATTAGTAGAATATGTCTTGTTTTGTTTTAAATAAATTTTACTTTATTAACATTTTTGTTATTGCATTACTATAGTTGTAAAAAGAAATATTAATAAAAAAAAAATAGCTAAAAGTTATGTTTAATGCAAATTAATTATATTATGTATATATTAATTATATTATATTAAATTATACTAATATTAGTATATTACTATTAATTAAATATGTAGTGTCTATAAACCTTAATGTGCTCTAGTAATAATTTATCGATAACTCGAACCTACCCCAATGTAGTAGGATCACATATTATACATTACATCTATTATGAGGAATAACTAATAAGTTTTATTAACTGTAATTGTTGAGCTATTATGGTTTTATACCGGAAGCTAATAAAAAAAAACAACTAATAAGTCATTGACTCACATAGATAATATGGTGTGGTAAATATCTACCTTTGATTAAGACTTWGTATAAAATATTAGAGCATCACAGCCGCATGTGTTGTCTACATCATACACATGTATGGCATACCAAATTTGGCAAATTTCCGTTCACCAATTTCAATAATGTGTTGTTAGTTTTGATATTAGAATGAATTGACCAAATATCAAACTTAAGTTATGACAATTATCTGTGTTTTCTAATTGGTTTTTACGATATTTTAATTTTTATAATTTTTAAGTGAGTTATGAGATTGTTAAATATTGATATTTGAAAATCCTTAATATACGAAAATTTGGTATGTCGAACATTATGTAAGACGGGTGCGACGTCCTCTGAAATGTTTGAGTACTTTATTTGATGGCATTGTTCGCCTAATGTGTGCTAATGTGATTCCTAATTCATGCTAATGTCAATTTTTAAAATAATTTTGTGTAGCGGTATATTCTTTAAAAATTTAAAAACTAATGAACTTAACATCCAAGGGACTTTTTGGATAAGTAAGTATTTTAATGCTCAACGTGATATTGAAATCAGAATTTAGTATTTACCATCTTAMTATTTCTAGGCGATAGTTAAAAGCACGACACAATAATGTACATTGTACAGAATATGAAAGTATTAGGTAGAACCTAGGAAGTTCCAATTAGGATAAAATAAATCCGATAAATAGTATATATATCTTAATTTGTAGGTAAAAGTAAGTTCGTAACATTTTAAAATATACGTATATAAGTACCGTACGTCCGTGTCCATGTTAAAAATGAAAATGAAAATAATTTGAAATTTCGCACTTAATCATAACACATGATAATACAAATAGATGGCGCAGTGTATATTTCTATAGTACCGTCTAGAGTGCCTTGATAGGCACTCTAGTACCGTCCATGTGATCATGTCAGGCCTATCGCCTATGCAACTCAAGAATTATACATACATTTATATTCTAAAACCGTGGTAGTACT